TTATGCTACATGATAGTTTGGGATAATAGAGTGTGAACACTTCAAGGTCAGTTACTCTGTCACATTTGTCTTGGCATCCTAAATTTTCACACAAACACTAGACTGAAAGGAGGCTGTAGTTGTGGGGTGGATGGATGAGTGAGTTGCCAGCCAACCCTCTGTTTGGTTCACTCTCCTGTTTGTGAAGTCCGCTTTAAAGCTCATCTGCACTAAAAAGTCTTCTTTGATTTTCCTCTGCTATGAGAAATCCCTTTGTCGACCATAGGAACTAAATCATAATTATTGACCTTCTCTTCTTTAAAAAAAACTGTTATTACTAAATGAATGTGCCTCCTTTAGACAATAGGGAGAGGCCAGATCCCATTTGATAATCTCTTTCACAGGCTTTCAGACATAATGAGTACTGGATAAACATATTAAATTCAATTGAGTAGATTACCTTCTTTGAGGGTTCCTCATGCACGTTGGCTAAAAAGTCTCTTCAGAGGTGTTAATTCTACGCAGAGAGGACCCAGGGGAAAGTGTGTTCTTGTAGCCCATGCGCCATATGGGATTTGCCCGCTAGCAAGGCCTAAGAGTCTCCAAATTAAATTATATTGCACCTGTGATATTACCTTAAAACAACTGGCATATAAACCGTGGCAGAAGAATTTCAAGAGCCGTCTGCTGTTCTTCAAAATTAATTTGCTTTCCCTGAGTTGCTTGTCTAGGAACAACATGGTACCCACCATCTTTGGGTAATATGGTATTTTCTTCTAAGGCTTGTGCACTTGTTTTGAGGAAATAATTGTATTCTCAGAAGAATTTGTGAATAACACTGTTTCGGTGCTCTCACGTGTTTGCAGATCACGTGCTTCCTTTTTCCATTTGGTAGTGGCAGAAACTCCTTGAGTTGTAATGGGGATACTGTAATATGTAATGGGGATAATGTAATACTCGTGACTTATCTATGTGGTGTCAATACCACAACACATTTTATGGTTGTGATTAGTCTTTCAAAGCATCAGAATTATTACAGAGTCATGAAAATGTTCTACCGTGTTGACATATTTTTCTTAGAAAGGTAATTTTTTTAAGATACGTAATATTTTTCTAATATGCTCTTCAGATAATATTGTAGTCCTCAATTTAGGAAAAGAGGAATACCCTCCCCCCACAATACTTTGTTTCCTTAATTTTTTTCTGATGTGATTCCTCTAAGTCAAGGGCTGACACTTCAAGGCCCACGGGCCAAATCTGGCCAGGCTCCTCTTTTTGTATATAAAGGTTTCCTGGGATATAGCCACACCTGTTTGTGTTCGTACTATCCATGGCTCCTTAGGCATATGGCCCACCAAACCTAAAATATTTACCATCTGGCCCTTTGCAGAAAAAGTTTGCTGATCTGCTTTGACTTCTTTATGAACCTCTTTATATTTTCAGGTAGCCATGGGATAATTCATCCCACTCAGAGGTTCCCCACGGTTACTCTAGAACCCTTGCCTTACTCAGGTGCCCCAGGTCCCCACTGCATTGGGCAGCCCTCTGTGCTTCTTATCTGTGCCCCCGATAGTACTGCGGTTGTGTATTTCAGTGCCTGTCTCCCGGACCGGAAGGACAGGAACACCTTCTTATTCTCCTTTGCTGTTCCCAGAGCCTAGTACAGTGTCCACACTTAAGTGATGCTCATTGTTCATTGAAGGAACAAATGAGTTACACATCTCAGTCACAATATAAAGCAGCATTTTAATAGGTACAGTTTATCTGAGACTCTGAGTATTCTAGAAACTACTTCTTTCTAGTTATAAAAGGGTTTTTTAAAAAGGCTTTTACCTTCACAATTTTATTTCCTTTGGGCTCATGTGGAAATTAGTTTATGTTAAAAATGAGTTTACATTTCTCCAGTTTTCATCTAACATTAGTTCTAACCATGCTAGATCTTAAGGATAAACTTCTTTGAATTAAAAAAAATATATTGCAGACTATCTCAATCTTGTATAGATGATTGAAAAGTAAATGAATGTCATCTCCATTTTGTCAGGGTTTTAGTGCTCAGAGGTGGCTGATACAAGGGTCTGGTTTATTATTTATTCTCTCATTCCAGCAAGACTTCCTAAGCATCTCTGGTGTTGTAGGTGGTGGTGAAAGAGCCATAAACAAGACAAAGCCTTTACTTTTGTGGAGCTTCCTTTCTCATCTGGGTACATAGTAACCAGGCAAGAAAACCACCAGCTGGTGGCAGGGGGGCTGTGAAAAGATTAAAATAGGGTGATATAAGAGTGAGTAAGCAAGTAGCAGTTTAAAGTCCCTAGCAGCTAATTGTTCTTTTGAGAGAGTGGCATTGGAACTAGGTTCTGAATGATAAGAAAGAAGCGACCATGTGAAGATCAGGGGGAATTGATCTAGGCAGAACAAATAACCAGGACAAAACCCCCAAATCTAGGAAGGAGCTTAGTGTGTTTGAAGAACAGAAAGAAAGCAAATATGGCAGATGTATAGTATGCTAGAGAGGAGTGAGGAAGAAGAGGCTCAGGAGGTAGGGGGGCATCAGTCAGGATGCAGCCTACGGTGAGGTTAAGGCTCAGGCTCTTGTCTTCTCTGGTTGTAAAGGAACTGAGGGAAGACGGTTGATGCTGACTTTCTGATGCCCAGTTAGTGCCCAGAATGGCCCCAGGGAGTGTGACGGTTAGCGAATCTGCTACTGGCCAGGTCAGCTTCTCACACTGCCACCAGAGGCTCCAGAGCCCCACGGAGTGTAATGCCAGACCCAGCTACCTCCGTGTAGAGTGATGTGGAACCCACCTGTGTGGCCATTTCTAGGTTGAGATGGCTGTTTGGCCATCGTCTGGGTCCCAACAGAACAAAGACAGTGATCACCCACATGACCACCTGCAGAAGTAAGCACCCTTGAGAGTAATCTCCATGTCATCTTATTTTTTGCATCAAAATGTCTGTGTGATATGCAGATAAGATGACCTTTTAACAAAAGGTTGGGTTGCAGGGAATATTATGTCAGGACAATGTTGCCTAAATGGGTTGCTGAAAAACATTCACCTAAATGAGAATGTGCTTAGCTGTTGAAATCTTTTGTGATATGTTGTATTTCTATATTAATATTCAGTTACAGTAAAAAATGTATGTGACGTATCACCCTGCGGTTAGGTATGTACAGGATAGAACATCTCACACGTTCAACCATTTTGGTTCCGTTCCATAAACAGTTTGATTCGTTAAACTTGGGTCAAGCTGATTCTTAGCACCGGGTAAGAAAATGGACAGGTAATAAGATACAGTTTTTTATGGCATTGGGAAAAACCTTTCAGATGCCACTGATATTACTAAAGTAACATTAGACACAAAGATTGCCAGATTCATTCCCTCAGTTTTCACAGTAAGCAGTTGTTTCAATAGAATGTTATTCCCTTCCCCACCTAGTTGCTGTGTGCAGACGTAGCCAGCCGCAGTAATTATGAATATTGTTGGAAGCTTGCAAATTTGTCATCTTGCTGTGGTTTGGTGAAGTCAGAGCCTAAGGGAGGGTGTAAATTAAAGCAGGGAGGAGGAAGATGGGGAAAGGGCTCTTTTAACAGCAAAAGAAGCAACTCAGTGGGAGTGGAGGCTGGCAATCAGCTCAGACGAAATGAAAGGAAATTCTCCATTTCTAAATGGTTCATTGACCCATGATAATAAAGCAGCCCTTCCAAAGAAGGATAATTATCTTTTTAAGTATCAGATGCCCTGTGGGTGAAGGCCTCCCTGCTCCTCTCTTGAAAAATGAACTCAGATTAAACAAATACTCATTCTCCTAGTTTACCGTTGACATAAATTTCCTGATTATGAGCAAAATTAATCAGTTTTCCCTCTTTTTCCCCCTGTCTTATGGAAATCAGGCCCGCCCAGCTGAGCTCAGTGCATTTCCCCTTGGGTCCTGAGTCCTACCAATAGTATGGTGGGCTAAAATGCTTGACATTCTGGTGAGACTAGCAACTGTAGACTTGCGGTTTTATTATGCCCCTTAGCTGCTTGGCTCAAAGCAGAAGCCTGTTCTTTTAAAACAAGAAAAACGAAAGAAACAGAAAAGAACATTAGCTTTTTTTCTCCTGCTGGTACCTGAAAACTCAACAAAAATTAATGTAACTTGTGTGTGTATACAAATGTATGTGTACACGTCTATATGTGTATACCATACACTTATGAGTTCAAATACAAAAAGGAACTGAAACGTTATTGATGATGTGACGCTGAATGTTTATTTGCTACCAACAAATGATCAAACTTGCATCCTTTTTCTCTAGAACACGTTATTTGTTCAGACCAATAATGTAAATATGTTGATTTGTCTGACTAATAGAATACATTAAGATGGCTTCATTCGCACAAGCAGACACCCCTTGTTTTAACTTAGTGATTTGCCTACAACTGCCTTCTTGAATTCTTAGTCATCAGTTTGAGGAATGCTTGTCATCAGCTGCTTAACCATGTGGCACATCTCCTTGTTGTAAATGAAGTTCACTGAACGTTTTCAGAATCTCTATACTCCTTTTAAAAATAAAATACTATTGTCTTTTGATTACATATTTCTCTACAGAGATATTGAAATTAAAGTTTTGATTGTGATGCTCTTCCTAGAAAAACCAACTGAATATTCCAGTTGCTTTTCCAACCCAGGGCCTTTGGCTGCTTGAGAATAGGGGTCAGGAGATAACGGTCCAGAATAGATCCTGCCTCATGGCCTAATTATTTCAGCCAGCACTTAAGTCTCTCTGAAACTGATGTCTTTGTCTCTTAAGAGAATTTCTTCAGTGCGCCATAGCTTCTCCTTTAAAGTATAATGAACCACGTTTGTAAGCTCTCTTTGAACTCCTTGGAGTTCAGTGGTTGGTAAATATTTGTTCTTTTATTCCTTAGCCTTTGCGAGTTCAGGCCCTGGGCCAAGGGGCTTCAAAGCCTGTGGGTATAAACCTCTTGGTAAAAATGGTCCCTAAAACAAGCAGAGTATACCTTAACAGACCTCACTGCAGATGTCCTCGTGTGTCCCCTCCGGCCAGTGGAGCGCTTCCGAGACCTGCATCCCGATGAAGTGGCCGACCTGTTCCTGGCAGCACAGAGAGTCGGGACGGCAGTGGAAAAGCATTTCCAGGGCACCTCTCTCACCTTTTCCGTGCAGGTGAGTGTACAGATAGCTTGCTCATCCAGGGCCACCCTACTATCCACAAGGCTCCGACGTGGACTTGGTGAACAGGGTGGAATATCAGCGGAGGCAATGCGCGCAGGGTTGTTGACCAAGCAGCTGGGAGTACTGGACGTGTGATGTATGTGATGAGCATGAAGACATTCCAGATCTTTTATTGGAACTGGGGCTGGACATGTCATTTTGATTCCAGGAGAAATATGTTTTGAGCCCTGCTCTATTTCTAGGGGAATAGAGATATGCAGGTTAGGTAGGGCCTCGCCCTCACAAGGCTGACCTTTTTAATTCAGCCTCAGTGATTGATTATGGATTGCTTATGGTATGAAGCTGGATTGATTGAGGGTTCAGTGTGGCCTCCTTCCTGGTAAAGAAGCTAGATCGCCAATCCCTAGAGATCTTTAGGCCGAGTTTGAGCCAACGCTTGTCAGTGTGGGAGGAGGAGGTCGGCGGTGGTCATCAGCTGTGGGAATTGAGTGAATCTTCAGGTAGTAATACACCATGAGCCCCTTCCTATCGCCCATGGAAAGGGCTGCGGGTATCTATACGTAATTAAAGCCCTGTGGGGCCTTGAGATTTGATGACTCTCCAAAAACCCTTTGGAAAGAAGTGGATGGTTTCATGATGCAAGAACTTGTCCTCAGTGCTTTAGGCAAACCGGATGTTTATCATCCTCCCTCTACCCTCCTCAGCTCTCCACCGTAGACCTTAAAAGAGAACAGATAGAGAAGGCCACCGTTTTCAGGTCGTGAAAGACTCTGACTAGAAATGTTCATCTGCTTTTTTTTTTTTATTTATTGGCCGCGCCATGCGGCCTGCGGAATCTTAGTATCCCGACCAGGGATTGAACCTGTGCCCCATGCAGTGGAAGCAAGGAGTCCTAACCACTGGATGACCAGGGAATTCCCTCATCTGCATTCTTTAAAAAAAAAACTTTTGCCACCATGTCTGTGTCAAGAGTATCTAAACTTCCTTGTAAAATACTGTGTGTGGGGTGTGTTGTGTGTGTGTGTCTGTCTGTCTGTCTGTCTGTGTGTATTGTGTATCAACCCCTTTGAGTCACCTTCAAGCAGGTAGTTAAGCTCAGGGGGGGTTTATTAAGCTGATGCTGCAAATCATGTTTCCAGAGAGACCAAATGAAGGCAACTGGGTGAAGACACCTGTCAGTGTTTAATGGAATACTAGAAGAAAATTCACATTCATAGGAAATGGCCAGTGCTGGTTATCTAACATGATTTGCTAGAAACTTAATTCCAAAAGTACAGAAACTCATGTTAAAAAATATAGACACTGTTGCTATTATATAAAGCACTTAGAGTACTTTCATATATGTGGTGTTTTCAAACTTTTTAAAACTTTAACGTACAGTAAGATATATATTTATTTCACAATCATATATTTCCCTCTCCCCCTACAGACATGTAGATAAAGGAAACAGAAACGTCACAAAGCAGTGTTTACCTATTCCGTACAGTCTAATAGTTTTTGTTCTGTTATCTGATTTCTTTTGTCTTCAGTGCTGGTCACAGCCCATCAAGTTGACTTTATGACCCACTAATAGGTTGAGACTCCAAGTTTGAAAACCGCTGATTACACAGGTCTGCTTAATCTTCGCCATAGCAGGGCAAGAATTCTCACCCCAAGCAGTTTGGGTCTTAGAAGTAGAAAGCCTTAACCTAAATTTTCAGAGTTGTCATTCCATTTTGAAATTTCTAATTGTAGAAACATTGCCTGTTCTGCTGTTCCCAACCAGCTGAGCGCTTACTTGCTTCTGCTTTGTATTATGGCTGGTGACTAGACGAGTTTGCTTATTTTTTAGCTAAGCAAGTAGTTCTGTTGGGCTTCAGAAAGCCTAGGGAAGGACCCAGGATGGGAAAAGAGCTCAGCTACAATAAACACTTGCACCTTTTCTCCCAAGGTCAGAAGAGCCAGAAAGGGCCCACGCTTGGGTGCTCCTTCTACATGAGACAGTCCATATTCTTGCTTCTTGCTGAATGGATTATGTTTATAGCAATTTCCTGAGGAGAGACTTAAAGTTATCAGGCATTAATTAAGCTACATCTGGTTTAAAGATAACCAAAAGGTGTGATACTTCACCTCCCTAAATATTTCCAGTCTTCCTTTAATGCAATTAAAACCATAGCCAAAAGCAAAGAGCATGAAAAGTAGGAAAGGGGTTCACTCACTGGATAATTTGTATCATTTTTATACATAACTTCTTACTCTCAAGCGGAAATGGAGAACTGTTGGGCCCCGTACCTTCGAAGCGAATGGTCCCCATGAGGAATCTATAAATTAACACACAATGAAATTGGATGTAAATTATTAACAGGCAATATTTCTGAATAAGCAGGAGATACCATCTATCTGTTCTCACCTCTGTCTTTTTTTTTTTTCCCCCCTATTTCTAGGATGGCCCCGAAGCCGGACAAACTGTGAAGGTGAGTGCTTATTATATGCATACAAATTAATAGGGGGCGATTACGAGAACTAATAAAAAATCACACTGAGTCATTTGGAGCACATTGCTGCTTCATTATGTTATCTTCGAGGTCAGAGAGAGCCTTGGTGTTGGAGCTATAAATCGTGACATTGTAAACTTTGCCAAGCAATATGTTTCACATTCGTTTACAAGACATTTACCTTTCGTAGTAAAATTATTATTGTTCAAATGCTAAAACAGAAACTAAATCATGGAGTCCTGAAACAGAAATGGAAGTCAAACGAGTTCATGGGAGGTAGTGTCTAGGAAACAGGACATACGCCGCATGTGGATTTGTGGGTCTCCTGTTAAGCCTGCGCCTCTGTGGCAGCCTTCTGGTTCTCTGCACTGTATATTGTTGCTTTGCCATTGTTGAGTGGAGGGCTCACAGATATGGTGGCCCCATGGTTATCCCTTCACTCCTCGCCCGTTGCTTCCCTCTGTTCTCTTCCTTTCCACCCACACACCTACTCTTTTCCTCCCTTCGTACTTAATACCAAAGTTCAACATAATGGAGTCAGTGGAGCTCAAAAATGAGTTTTTAAGTGTGCCAGAAGACGGAAGGAAGATTTATCAGCATAGTCTCTGCTTCCCTAATAAAGTAAAAGAAAAGAATAAAATCCTGGCTGATTCTGAAGTTGAGTTTCAGCCCCCTTCATACAAATGCAAATGCCTGTGCGGTTAGTTCCTACCCCTAAATCATAGAAGAGGCCTTTTTATTCTTTTTCTTTTCTTTTTTTCGTCTTAGAAATCTGAAGCAAGTCTAGCTGGGGTGCTTATGTTACATTTTGCGAAATGAGATTTTATGGCTTTGAGACTGGCTGTGAGTGAGTAAGGTAATGCTTGGTACCAAACAATGCCGACTAAACATCATCCTCTTTTGATATTCGTCTGCATGTGGTTTTAATGCTTAACATAGCTACTGTGGGACTTTTATAATAGAATCTCTGGGAAATACTTTTGAGGAGCAAATGTCCTACAGAGATGGCCACCAAATTCCTTATGATAAAAAAGAGCTAGCCTTGCTCCAGACACACAGTGTGATAAGGACAGAGGGGCTTCACAGCTTTCCCCCACCTCCGTGCCAGGCTTCTAAACATGCCGATGCTAAAAAAAAAAAAAAAAAAAAAACGAAACAGTGTAATACAGTAGCTTCGTTTTGCAATTGCTTTTGGAAATACAAAATGTAAATGTTTAAACCTGGTTGCTAGATTTTTTTTTTCTTTTTAAAGAACATTTATTTATTTATTCGACTGCACCGGGTCTTATGCGGCACACGGGGGCACGCAGGATCTAGTTCCCTGACCTGGGAACGAACCTGGGCCTCCTGCATTGGGAGGGCAGAGTCTTAACCGCTGGACCACCAGGGAAGTCCCACTAGATTTTTTTTAAAATCAATATTCAAATATAAATTACAACACCACCAGATTAGTTAGGTGCTTTGTGCAGTATCTATTTGATGAAATTCCTTCAGCCATTGAAAGTAATGCTGCAGAGGCATAGCTAGTAACACGGGAGAAAGTCAAACCGTGTCAAGGGGCATGCAGAGATTAATAGTCTGCACAACATAAACATATCTGAAATTTATATGAATATGTAGGTTATATGATCTCAAAATTTTATTTTGGGAATCTGAATGGGGCGTTAATCTAAACGGGGCATTTTCCTAGACAGGCAGGCACTGAATAGAGACAAAAAGTAGATTAGTGGTTGCCAGGGGCTGGAGGAAGAAGGGAAGGAGAAATGACTACTACCAGGTAAGAGTTTCTTTTTAGGGTGATAAAAATATGGAATTAGTGGTGATGGTTGTGCAACATAATGGATATTTTTAAAACCCACTGAATCGTACATTTTTAAATGGTAAATTTTATGTTATTTGAAATATATCTCAATTAAGAATGATAATAAAAAACCCCAACAAACACCAAGTCTAGCAGGGCTGAGCACCATGGCTGTAGACTTTCTGACTCTAGTACTGACTACTTTTTCATGTCCCAATGATCGGGCCAAAAGTTTTAATGGTTTTGTTAGCTTTGACGGTGGGGTGATGGAGTAATTTTTGGAGTATGGCACTCATATATAAATTGTTGAATGTGGTTCTTATCATCACTGCCATTGTCATTTAGCTTAAGTTGATTTTTTTTTTTACAGTTCTTTTTTTTAATTGGCAGATTATGTTCTTTTGAAAATCTTTCAGTTGTTTCCTATATGATCCCTAATTTCCCCCATATGAATTAGCAGGGCCATCTCTATTACACAGAATCGTTTGTGTAATATTAAATGGCTAAAAGAAAACATCCATATGCATTTGACCTTTGAATAACAGGAGTTTGAACTGTGAGGGTTCACTTATACAGGAACTTTCTTCAGTAGTAAATACTACAGTACTACAGATAAGTGGTTGGTTGGATCTGCAGATGCAGAACTGCGTGTATGGAGGGCTGCCTCTGAATTATACACGGATTTTCTACTTCGAGGGAGGGTCGCAACTCCTAACCCCCAAGTATTAAGGGTCAGCTGTACATAAAACTAAAACCTCAGTGGATGGCAAAGTTTTGAAAACTGTCCTTTTAGACCAAGTCTACATATCACAAGTTGTCTAATCTGTTTTTTCTAAGTGTGATTCTTATACTACCTACCAACTATTCTTATGCTACCTACCTGAGAATTAATTTTGATGTTACGTTAGTAAAGAGGTTGATTCTGTTTTTATTCTAAATTTCCTGATTTAGAATCTTTGTGTTTGGGGCTTGGGAATCTTCATTGTTAACAAGCACGCCTCATGATTCTTCTCAGAATGTAAATATTTACCAGCCTTGCTGCTTTATGGTGATAAAGTAGTAGGTGGTGATGGCCACATAACCTTGACCCAAGGAAGCCAGGAGTCAGCCCCTCCAGGGAGTAAAGCTAATCTCCGAGAGGCAGCAGTGAGTGGTGGCGTGAAGCGAGATCTTAATCCCCTGCCCAAGAATTGAACCTGGGGAGCCTGGATGAAAACCAGGAATCCTGGCCACCACACCCCCTGGGTCTTGCCCCCAGTGAAAAATGCATTTCTCACGGAAGCAAAAACTGTAAAAACAGGTACAAGTTTATTATTAGAGACATAGCACAACAACAGGTGGGAGAGCACACAGAGAAACAGTTTGTTTAGTTAGGACAGAAGCAAGGCAGAGATGCACACCGGAGAGGAAGGGTGTGGGCGTCCTCCCGAATGAGGAGAAGCCAGGAAAGAGGTGGTTAGGTCATTCATATAGGGCAGTTCTTCTGGGTCTTCGTTTACCTTTGGCCAATTACCTGGTTTCTATTTCCACACCTGCCCTGCCCTAGGACCCTCCCCAACTTGCTGTGTGCAACGTTTTTCCAAGGTGGATTTCAGCCCAGAGGTCTATAGGACGGCCTTAGCATCACATATTATGGGGTGTGCCCCCTCCTTTTGACCCCCAAGGAGCCTTTCTGCGCATGTGCAATGTTTCTCTTGCCTCAAGGATGGGAAATGTATGACCTCTTGATCTTTTAGCAGAGTTTAGCCCCTCTCTGTCCCTGCCATAAAAGTGTCCAACGTCCGGTTATCTACCCTATTCCTGTTGTTGTTTCTTATATCAAAGTGCAGATCTCGAAATACAGAGAGGAGTCCGCTCATAAGTACATAGTCGGGAGCCAGTTTGTCTCTTGCCTCAGGAAATGTAAACAAGGGGCTGATAATGAATGTCGGGCCTGAAGCCCATCTTCTTCTCACCCCAGGAAGTGTGAACAGGATCCGGCCAGTTGTCAATGTCTAGCCTGGGGCCCATCTACCTCCTGCCTCAATGCCACATGGTCAGTATTTAGCGGCCAGGTTTTCATGACTAAGCATTTCAGATTTTGAAATTCACACAGTTGAACATTATGAGGCACTATCTGACGGCCTGCCACGGAAAGCGCAGTGACTCTTTTCTTTCTCTTTGCTTCTGTGTCTGACTCTTGGTGCCCCGCCTGACGCCTGGGCCCTAAACCATTTTTGTCTCATGTTGGGTGGTAAGAGCAATAAGCCCAACAATGATCCCTTCCCTTGCTGTTGTTAGCGGAAGTGCACCACTGAGCGAGCCTCTTGGACGTGGCGCCCCTTTAGGGCTTTTTTGTTTGGTGGGCTTTAAATTCTTCTTTGCAAAGAACAAGGGTGGCCTAGCTTATTCAGTAAGGCATTTGTAACGAAAGGGAAATATCAAACTAAAAATGTGACCTCTTTTATTTATTTTTTTGTGGTATGCGGGCCTCTCACTGCTGTGGCCTCTCCCGTTGCGGAGCACAGGCTCCGGATGTGCAGGCTTAGCGGCCATGGCTCACGGGCCCAGCCGCTCTGCTGCATGTGGGATCTTCCCGGACCGGGGCACGAACCCGTGTCCCTTGCATCGGCAGGCGGACTCTCAACCACTGTGCCACCAGGGAAGCCCTAAAAATGTGACCTCTTATTTCTCGATTGTTTATTAACTCTCCCGTTTGAGTCTAAAAGTAGGAGGGCGCTGCTGTCCACCAGGTGATTATTGCAGCAATTCTGATATCCTGCAGGCTTGAGAAATGATCCCTTTCTTCTGGTCTCAGCCATATATCACCATATGCATATCCATATTATCATGTACCTGTACAGCCATATGTCGCTGGGTCATCAGCCTTCGCTGACCAGCCCCTCCCCTCTGAGTAGCCCTCCTAAACCCTTTACTTCCTACCCCGTTTGCCTTGGTCGACTAAAAACAAAGACAAAAACCTAAAAGTTGTGAGTTGTGTTTTATTCGGGGACCTTACTGAGGACGATAGCCTGGGAAGACAGCCTCTCAGAGAGCTCTGAGGGACTGTTCCCAAGAGGTCAAAGAGGAACCAGGATATATAGGAGTTTTGCTGGGAAAAAAAAAAAAAAAAAAGTAGTCAAACATCAAAAGATTACTGATAATCACAAAAAAACAGACATCTCAAGTTAATGGTTTT